TTTTTGTTTTTGTTTTTTGTTTTTGTTTTTGTTTTTGCTTCTTTCTGGGGGCTTTCAGAAATGAAACAGCTTTGGTTTATAGAGTATGGGGTTGTGGGAAAAATAGGAGGAGGAAAGACTATTAGGTATGTTTGCCGCCTTGATTTATTTATAAAAAATAATAAAGAGATTTTTAAAAAATCTAAAAAAAATGGAAATTAAAATAATAGACTTTGATTATGTGGAAATTTTAAAGAAAATTAGGCTTTTTGGGTGAGAACACAGATGTATAACCTGAAGTTCCAACCCTGCATTTGGCTTCCAATAGCCCTGGATAAAGTAGCCCCTCTTAAAATTGCCTCCGAATAATAAATTTTAATGTGTATGAAAGAGAAAATTATGTAGTAAGTAAACAAAATAACTGTATTTACATTTTTAATAGTAATTGTATTAAAAATTACAACTACTATGATAAAAAACTAATGCAAACTAAAAAGATAAAAATGGAAGGTACAGAAAAGAAAAATAGAAAAGAAAAAAATAAGGATATAATAAAGAAAAAGAAAAGAAATATATAAAGAAATGACTTCCCCTTCATCATAACACGTATAAAGAATTTTAGCGACTTATCACCTTCCATTAAAATACAACAAATTATCTCTTCTTCCCATATCCCACCCCTTAATCTATACAAAAAAACAAAAATCCTTAAAAACTTTGTCATTTCAGTCCTGATCAGCAAAAGCCCATTAAGGGTTCCCAGAGATAACAACATATCTATTTTAACCTTTGTCAAATAAACCAAATTTATATTCCTTCCTTTTACTTTTAACAATCATCTTCATCTCCCTTCAAATAATGTTGTAGAACTTGATTTCTTTTCATTTCCCTTTGTCCCTTCTCAGAAAATTGTTGAAAGCTTTAACAAGCCTTTTTTGTAAATCCAATATAGGGAGATTATCCAGGTCATCCTCTTGGTTTGTTATTTGTATATCCCTTTTAATTATTAAGACATCAGCCAGTTTCTTTTGTATGTGCAGTGTAGCATCTTTTTCCATATCAGTCTATCATTTTAAAATCTATTTTCAGATCAGTCTTGTCTGTAAAATTTCTTCCTCTTCCATAACATCTTTTAAACATAGTCATCTATAGACGCAGACACTCTTAAAATTAACTTTCTGGGTCCATTGTTCAAAAATATCCTTCAACATGTCAAATGTTAAAATATTTTGCTCCATTCTGCATTAGTAAGTCAAATTTAAGTGTTCTTCTCCTTTAATTGTCATCTTTAGTCCCTTCTAGTTCCTTCTAGTGTCCAACATTCAAAGTCCATCCTATCATTTATTTTCCCACAGGAAGGATTCTTATAATTAATTCCAAAATCTTATTTCAAATCCATCTGGACCCTGAGTCTGTTTGTAAATTTCTAAAACCAAAATTTTAATCACCCATTTGCTGTTTATTCCAGGGGGGGGAAAAGTCTTTAAACTTGTATTTAAAACTTCTTTCATTAAGGATTGAAGAAAACTTACCCAGTGCTGTAAAACTTGTCAATCCAAAGGTTCCTAATAGCTGAAAAGCAGTTAAGCAATTTCTGAAAGTGATTAGAAAAGGAAGTTTGCGAACCCAGTGTCCTTAAAGGCATTGGCTGCAGTTTGAGCAAAAAGATGGCTAGTCCCTTGTCTCCCAGAGCTCTAAACCAGCCAGAAACTGCTGTCTTGTGGCCTCCTTGTGTGGAGCAACTGTATGGGGCACTTGTGGGTGATCTCAGGTCCTCTCCTTGTCCAGAGAGGAATTATGAAGAGCCAGTCTACTCGCCAGCTCTTCATTCCGCCATGGTCATCAGCTCCACTTTTAGCTGAGCCATCTTCAGTTCACCATTTTCTTTCCCAGTAGTCAAAACTAAATAATTGTATTTACAATTTAATGAAGTATAAAATAAATGTATAGGTCTTGATCCTACATACTGCTAATTTTTGTATTTCAGTTCCCTATATGTTACTCAAAAGACCAGACGGGTCTCCTTCACAATTGTATAGTCTAGTTTAGAAAAATGAGGACAGTATACAACAGAACAAACCATAATCACTGAATCATATTTTAGCCTAGCATGATTTGAAGAACCAGACAGGGTGTTTACTTTATGGTTTACTGCATTGTGTGAATACAAAAAATTGGATTAGTTCCATAAAAGATGGTTAAGTATTTCATGCAAACATAGCATATTAATCTGACTTAGCCAAATATTACCTTTATTAAGACATCTCCCTCAAGTCAAGCATGACTCCTGCTCAGTACATGGATGTTTCTATTTAGGTTTATGACAAAAGTTTTTTAAAAAATGGTTTGTCTTTCCCTTTTTCCAGAATTTTCTTTTTTAACTTCCCAGTCCAGTCTATAACCAATCCTGCTTAATTTTATGAAAATCACCCCAGATTGACTAGATGCTTCCTTCTTCCATGGCCATCTTGGCCAGAAGGTTCCATAATATACCAATACAAATAACTTGATTAGCTTTCCAGAAAGGAATATTTTTTATTATAGTTGCTCTAGTCCAGTCATACTATTGCAATTTGAAATTGATCTAGGAGTTTGTGCATAGTCTGTGCTCTCCGTCTGAGCTATGAAAATTTTCATAACCAGCTTGACATAATGCCCAGCTGCAGGTGCTTGAGATTAAAGTCCAACTGTCATGCACGTCCTATCTTTCAATTTTTACCACTTAATGGTAATTTACATAGAAACATCCAGGTTGTCGTTATACTGGACAGGAGAACTTTTAGGATATCTCCAGCCTTGTTTATTATACAAAAAAGGTAAGTATAGATATATACAATAAAAAGCAGTGCCATTGAACTTTTGCTGTTTACTGTGGGTTGATTCAGGGTTGCAGGAATTATAGCCTCCATTCCTTCAACATACAGCTTGCTACTTACAGAAAAATTAATGCATAAATAAATGACTGTCTTTAAAAAAAATCTCAAACCAGTTGCCAACTATTAGTTTCCTAGCAATTCAGTGCAGGGTAAGCAAATCATATTGGAAACTGTTTCTCCAAATTATTATTATTATTATTATTATTATTATTATTATTATTATTATTATTTAAACTCCCCCACACATCT